GAGCAGCCGCACCAGCTGCTCCACGCGCTGCCGGATCAGCTCCCGCATCTCCCGCTGTGCCTGATCCAGCCGGGAGGCCTCCTCCTTCAGCGCCGTGTAGGTGGCCTCGAAGCTGCTTCTCTTCTGCTTCAGTTCCCGGCTCATGGTGCCCAGCTCCTCCTGCCTGCGCTGGGTCTCGCCGCGGATGTCGCAGAATGGGGCGTGCTGGCTGTCCAGCAGTGCGCATGAGCAGCACAGTGGCTTCTCGCACTTCTTGCAGTAGATGCTGGAAGGAAACAGGAGCATCCTTCAAAGGGGGTACGTGAGCAGGGGGAGAAAAGCCTTTCCACTGCGCTGGGCATGATTCCCCTTCCCCAAGGGACAGGTAAGGAGTTTAACGAGAGGGGAAACTGAGGCGCAGGGCAGGAAAGGGCTTTGCCTCACATCACCAGCTGCAGATGTGGGCATGAAGCTGGGTCTTCAACCCACCTTTGCTCCCCTCCCTCCTCCCAGGGACCTGCCAGGCCCGAATCACAGCCTGCTCCTGCCCGGGGTCTCGCCAGGGTTGCAGCGGTCCCTCTCCAAAGGCAGGTGGTGAAACCCCCTTAGCTCTGCCCTCCTGGCAGAGATTGTCCTGGAGCAGCAGCCCCAAAGGCCTTGGTGCAGGATGGGGCCCGGGGACAAGGCACCACTCTCACCTGCAGATGTAGCCCTGGTCTGCGTGACCATGACTGGAGCAAAAGAGGTTGCAGGACTTCCTGGTGTCTTCCAGGAACTGATGGGCTGACTCAGCACGAAGGTCTTCCACCCTCCTGGCTTCGTGGCTCCTCTTCTGGAAGAACCACTGGTGGTCCTCAAAGCATTTTTGCACTCAGAGCACCAGAACTCCCCATTTTTCTGGCAGTTGTCGCAGAACAAGTCAACTCCATCAATGATCTTCTTGTAGATGCTGAGCCTGGCCTGCAGGTTGGTGAAGAGCAGGTTGTCCGTGTCGGGGATGCCGGTGGACTGCGGAATGGCCGTCTGGCAGACGGGGCACTGCGCGATGGGCTTGTTCTCACTCAGGCAATTGAGGCACAAGGTGTGGAGGCAGGTGAGGAGCTTGAGGTTGCGTGATTCCTGCCGGCAGCCCTCGCAGAGGATGAACTGGAAGTCATCCTTCGCAGCGGGCAGGTGGGATGGAGGGGAGCAGGCGGGTGTACCTGTCTCCATGGGGGCAGCAGCACTGTCTCCATCTACGTGGGTTGCGGGAGAAAGAGTCCGTTGGGGCATGTGAGATGGAGGGGGACAGGAGGCTCAGTCCCACCCGTGGGGGCCATGCAGGCCACCTGTGGGCAGCCCCCTTCACCCACCCAGCTGCAGGGAAAGGAAAAGGCTCCTCTCCCTCCTGCCGAGGGTGAGTGGGTGGCAGCACCCCAGCAACACAAAGGGTGGTCTCCCACAGAGATTCTCTGCTGGCTGCAAAGGGTTGTGCTCCCTCCAGCCCTTGCACAGGACCCTTGCAGGCTCTCCTGCCCCCTCTCCAACCTCTTTCTCTTCAGGGAATTTTGGATTTCAGAGTTGGGAGGGGATGACAAAGGCTGCAAAGTGACTTTTCTTTCTCTTTGCTGCCACTGTCTCTTTCTGCCCTGCGATTGGGGAGGGCAGGGGGGGCCCTGGCGGCAGGGTCCCGTCCCCCTCCCCGGTTCCTGCAGCACTGGGATGCTGGCACCAGCCCTGCCCCCAAAGGCATCCCCCTGCCCACTCCTCGCACCCCCGGGCTTCCCCCAGCCGGCAGCGCAAGGCCCCCCCCGAATAAAGCAGAGAACCCCCCTCCTTTGACACCTCCCCCCCTCCCCATGCAGTAATTTTGCACCCTAAAAGAATAACGCCCCTCCCTTCTCAAGCAGGCAACCCCCGCGGCTCCCTTTTGGGGGGTCCCTGGGCCAGGCTTTACCCCCCTCTCCCCATCCAACCTCCCCCTCTGGAGAAGCAGGGCCCCACCCTTTACCTGCTGAGAGGC